ATAAAGGAGACTGGAAGCAGCTAATAGGAAAGAGGTAGGTCTTTACCAAAAACCATAACGCAGCTCCGCGTAATGCTGATGTGTACCCCCCCCCCTCATTCATGTGAGCTGGGAACTTGATGGAAAAGATCGACTTTAACCATCTGCTCTGTATACAGCCGCTGGCAGAGCTTACTGGCACAGAGAATTAGACAACGTCAGGGTTTACGAGTGTCACCACCCAGGACGAAGCACAAACTCCGCGCACATCTCCCTGGCTGCTCTTTTGATGCCCATTTAAGGCAGCATTATCCAAAAGGCAGAACCTGCTTCAATAAACTGCAGCTTTCAGCTTCTTCCATGGATGAGGGAAGAAAAGAGGATGGAAGGAAAAAGGAATCGGGGGGGAAAGAGGATCACCTGGACAGAGAATGAGGCGGCACAACCTTCTCTCTGCAACCAGATCAAAACGCAGCTTGACCTATAATCCGCGAGGAAGGTGAGCCAACCCAGATGGATCTACAGACCCTCGTATTGTAGAGATGGACAGTGCGTCCGGCCAAAAAAATAAAGACAAAAGGGTCTTTGTTTCATCTTCACTCAGATACTGCCGCTCATACCGTAGACGAAAACGACTAAAGTAGAGATGAAAATGAGCGTCATCAGTTGCAGGAAACCTCCAGTTCTCTGGCGTCCAATCATTGCAAAATCAAAGTTTTTACAGGTGCTCCGGCAGCTTTGCTGAACTTACTGAAGGCCGTAACCAACGAGGAAGGAAAACAAATGTCCGACTATCTTCCTGCAACATCTGACAAAGCCTCCTGAATGTTAGCAGTAGACACACACAAAATAAAAAAATCAAGCCACAGTTCAAATGAATAGGAAAGGTCTGCTCAGTGAAAGCAATAAAAAAATGCTCCAGACATGAAGGGGGAGATCTAGTGAGCTGGGACTATGAAGTTGACTTGAGGTCCGGGAGTGGAAAGCTGGGGACGTGAATGGGGAGATGAGGGCAAGCTGGGAACATGGAAGAGGAGAGTGTGGGGTCCGAGAGCGGAAATGGGGGGGGGGGGGGGGCCTTCATGGATTCTTGCATCGGGGCCCGGAGGTCACTAGTTACGCCTCTGGCTAGAAGTATATATTTATAAGTGATACATACAAAGAAGGTTTTGAACACTGCAGAAAAGCTTGGATTAAGCAAACCACCAGAAATGAGAAAACTTCCAGCTCGCCTTGAAAGAATCCAGTAACGAGTTCCTTATAAAGGAAAAATGTACCTGCTCTTTGTACAGACAGAAGTGACGACAGCCCACAAGACGCCTAATTCTCTCCTATTCCACATTCTATTTTAAGGAATGACACAATCTTCACACATCGCGTTGGAAGATTATGTTAGAGATAAAACTAAGAACGCTCAGTTTAACCCTCCGGCTGCCGCAGCGGAGCCGCACGGACGACCTCAGCGATTTCTTTCGGGAGGAAGCCATGGGTCTGGGTCATAGATATGTAGGGTTGGCGTCTCTGCTCATCCGATGCAGCCCAATCCCAGAATTAGTCAGTTATAGACTTGGTTAGGCTTCTATATTTAATCTGTTATTAAGCGATGAGATCAGAGACAGGAAAAACACAAGGTCTCAGCGCGATGGGATATTTGTCTAACCAGCGGCTCCGATGGGAAGCGTTCAGGAGGACTGCGAGCTGGAGGGGTTGGGAGGGGAAGGGGGGGGGCATGCATTAACCCCTTGCACAATTGGGAGCAGATGTCAGCAAATAAACATTCTCACACTCCATTCACAAAATAAATCCATCGAGGGGGAGAGGGCGGGCAGACAGGATTTAAAGGGCCACTAAACCGAAAACACATGTCCTGTCAAAGCCAAAAATGAGCTTGCCCAATGGTAATATTGAAGTGAATGTAAACCCCAACGATGAACCTCTCGTTTGGTCCATTTTGGTCTGTTATATATACACCATAGAACATGTATTGTTATGTCTGTTCCATAGGTGCCAAAACAAGCCTGGGGATCCTGCATGAAATCCAGTAAGCTGATAAAAGCCGAAAGCACAAGGCGTTATGTTAGCCTTGTTCCCTATGTAGACTACAGAACATCTTCCCTCTAGAAGAGAAGGGGGAGGTGTCCTTCATTTGTCCTGGTGACCACTAAGGTGGAAAATGATGTAAAAGTCCAAATGTTACAGTTGTCACTGGAGCAGGAAGAGAGACGAAATGTTAAAATGGAGACACCAGTTACGATAACAGCTGGCCATAAGGTCACTCCTCCTAACCTTGGAGGTATTTCCTCTAACTTCCTGCTGTGTCTCCAGGACAGGAAGTGTAAAGAAATCTACCCAATGGTAAATGGAGCAAAAATCTGAAAAGGGGGCTGAAAGTAATATTAAAAACTCTTTTTTCCATAATGAATCCGGAACAAATATAGATCGCCCTTTAAATCTTTTGCCCAAGCACTTACAGCCATCATGTTTCCGAACAGCTCTGACTCTCCCAGCTCGGCTTCACTGAACCTTCTGTCCAATACAAGATCACAAGGGATAGAGCAGACGCCAGCAACTGTTCATCTACTAGCTTTGAGAAGAGAGGGTAGAGGAGCAGGGAACAGTTGGGAGGAGGCTGCCTTGCTGTGCCTGTGTATTTGTGGAGACACACACAGCTTACTAGCACACACAAGGGTAGCTCCGTAGGACCCTGCAACAGAAAGGAGCCACTCTAAGACAGGATATCAGGGCCAGTGCTCAGGGGACCAGCTGATTCTGCAGGAAACAACAGGAGCAGCAAAGGGAACCGGCTGGGTTGCGATCCGGTGTGTTCCAGCACCAAATCGGGCCGGAACGCACTGGGGCTGGTGTGACCTAGCCCTCATAGGAAGGGAGACCCCCTTGTTTTTCTGAAATGTCAGTGGGGTTAAGTCATACGACCAGGTCAGATGCAAACAGTACTTAGCAGGGATCTGAGCTCATTACAAATACATTTAGGTCCCATTATAGATCAAATCTAAGCGCGGTTTTAACTATTTCGGTTGTATTTTTTGCCCATTTATGTCCACTTGGGGAGACTTTACTTCCTGTCCTGTAAGCGCAACAGGAAGCAAGAGAAAATCCCTCCAAAGTGTGAGGTGCTACCCTCCAAGTTGTCCCAGGACGAAGTGTCCCCATTCGTCTCTATTCCAGTTCTGGAGGCACTCAGAACACGGACTTCACCCATGACAGCGGTCACCAAGACAGAGGGTGGCGGGTCGAGTTGCCTTTTAGGCATGTTGGTCATTTCAAGAGGACGTGTCATATTAAAGAAAATGACCTTTTCTAATAGGAATGCAATGGGCACTTCTGCTCAAGGCAAACACCATCAGTCAGTGGCTGGAACCAATATGCCTGAAGTAGAGCATTGGTCAACTAGGAACCAGAAACCTTGGCGAGGTCACCAGTATCCTCCGCTCTCCGCAACATAACCGGCTCATACTGAAGTTCCGGGCTGCTCTCTTAGCGATCTGTTTTAACCAGAGTCGGGTGGCTTCTACTTTGTGTGAGCTCCTAATGAGCAGAGTGCAAACAAACAGTGCCCTGAATGGTCCTGGTTTACAGAAAGACTTCCTGTTCTGCACAGTATCAAGAGAAGTATGGACAGCCACCATTGCTCTAAGATCAGTGCCCTGGAAGACTGAACAAGTCTAATGTATGTCGATCATATAAACAAAGAGCTTCCACATGCTCATGAAGTGTCCCAGCTCAACAAAGCTCTTGAAAAGTCGAGAGACCCAACAATTTTGCCGGTACAACTGAGTAAGAGAGGTGGCAACCAGTCTGCTAAGCTGCCGAGAATAGTCTGTGCTCAGCTTTATGTCCCCGAAGCTGAACTTCCCTTCAGTCTTGCACAGTTGTTCTATAGAAAGCTCCAACTCATCAAAATCTCATACTACCTCACTTCCGGTGCTCAAAAAGACCGGAGCTCTGTACAGTGGCGGTGCGCATGCGCGCATAGCGTTTTCAGAATACTCGACAAGTTTGCCACCTGCTGAATATTGTTATCATGCAGCTGTACAGAGCTCCGGCAGTCTTTGTGTTTTGCAGTCTTAACGACGTCTGGTCAAAATCTCCAACTTGCAAGTACCCGGCAGTGAGGTAGTTGGAGATTTCGACGAGTTGGAGTTTTTGATAGAACACCGGCTCCTCTCCTGGACTGGAATCGCTTATTCAGATATCACTGCAAACTGTTCGCTTCTCACAATCTGCATTAGAAGCTGCAGCAAGTCAGACAGAGCCCACCTCATTTCCTGGCTGGAGGACGTCCAGCATCATCAGTTTCACTGACCTCGCCCCTTTCATTCATTAGATTGCAGTTGTCTCACTCATGAAGGCGTTACCACGGGTGGGCATTACCACGGGTGGTCTGCATGCAAATGCTTCCTGCCAAGGACACCCACACCTCCAGACTGACACCCGCCCATCAAGGCATTTTGATGTTTGCATAACTCCTCCCAACCACTTGAATCTAGCCTCCACCCAGCCCTCTGCTTGCATCAGGTCTTGAGGAGAGTACGGAGGCAGGGTGCTGTGATGTTTCCAGAAAGCCATGTACAGCTCCCTGCTAGCCCCTCCCACCAGCCATGATCTGCCTGCCTTGCACAGAGAAGCATAGGGGACCCAGTGATGATGTCACCGGGTCTAAAGTAAAATATGCAATGAAAATAGTAAGGTGTTATATAAAAATGGTTCAGCTTTAACCCTTCTCTATTCAAAAGTGTTTTGGCCAATCCTGGCTGCAGCTAAAACTAAGCCCAGTATTGACCAAAATGCGTCAGCAGCCATATGCTTTTAACCCTGTACTTGCTATAAATCTATACTGTGATGTAGTGAAGAGTGCTGGCTACTTTTGTTCAGATTTTAGTCTTGGTGACCATGGTTGAATATTACCAACAGTTACACTGACAGCAGTAAAAGGGTTCTAACCCCCCGTCACACCAAAAACTAGAAAAAAAGCTTTAAATATGCATTAAAAGAGAACTATGAGGTAAGGGTTTCTCCCCATAGGTTTCTTTAGGGTCACGGGAGGACATATACTAGCGTCCTCCTGTGACCCAAAAGCTACTGAGAGCGCCACAGCCCGGACGGATCCCGACAATACTATCTGGATCCACCCAGCTGCGTGAGTGACAGCGGGCTCTGCCTATCTAGAGTCAGAGCCAGCTGTGCCCGCCCCCTCCCCGTTCCTCCAGTCAGCGCTGGAGGATCGGAGAGGGGAGGGGGGGATCCCTGCAGGGAGCGGTGACTGACAGTCACCGCTCACTGCAGGGAGACGATCGGGAAGTGAGCTGATCGGCGGCATGTTTCTGCTCACTTCCCGATCTATGGAGCCGACCTGTGACAGCTTCTTTGTTACACGTCGGCTCTAACTATGAGGATGAGTGGAAATCACTCACCTCATAGATCTCCTTTAAGTACCAGCCAGCATTATGATCATATTTACAAAAACACATTCCATTTCAGGTTAGTATAAATACATACTGGAATGACTAAGGCCAGTGAGTAGTCTATGTATAGCCGGCCATTTCCTGTGTGTAGTATATTCTGGATTTGCCTTCGTGGAAAGACGGCACAGATAGAGAAAGCTTTTGCTCTCCTCATATTACCCAGACCAGGAAGTCCGGGCTGTCTTATCAGTTTGGCATTCTCCATGCCAAGGGATCATGATGAGGGTGGATCCCGAGTTCTTTTACATCAGAATAGAACACAGTAATGTTTTACACACATCACAAAACTATGTGGGTATTGTAGAACACAACTTATTATAATGCAAAGCCTGCTTTCCTGTGCTGATGGACACAGAAAAGAAACAGAAAGATATCCCAAGGGGTATTTATCAGAACTGGAGCAGACAAAAACTGGAGCAGCTCTGCATGGCAACCAATCAGCATCCACCTTTCATTTTCAAATCTTAACTAAACAAACTGAAGAGAGAAGCTGATTGGTTGCTTTGCACAGCTGCTGCAGTTCTGATAAATTCCCCTCTCTGTGTTCAATTGAAAGATGTAGACTTCCTTAAGTCAAAGATACCATATGGAACAGGGGTGGGCAAACCACGAACCTCCAGCTGTGGTCCAACTACAAGTCCCATGAGGCACTGCAAGACTCTGGCAGCCACAGGCATGACTCTCAGAAGCAGATGCATGCTGGGATATGTAGTTTCACCACAGCTGGAGGGCCGGAGTTTGCTTACCCCGGTATAGACCATTAGGAGGCTCTATAGCACCCTAACACAAAAGCGTCTGGTCTACCAGTAAAACTTGATGCTCTGGATCAGAAAAGGCCACTTTCATTTTTTTAGCCATCACAGCCGGCTAGCAAAGCTTACTGCAGAAATAAAATACAGGGGGAGTCCTTACTCTTGATCGGTGCATAGGATTGTCGAAGTCCGTGCCTTCAGGAGCCAGGAGCAGCCATCCTCCATAAATGGGCTTGGCCTGTAACACAGGAGTAAAAAAAGAGAGGTTTAATACACAATAAAACTCATCCAATAGAAAGCATTCAGCATTTAAATAGCAAAAAGATCAGGGGTGGTTAACTCCAGCTTTGCTTTAACTACAAATCCCAACATGCCTCTGTCACAGTGCTCATGTACCAAGGAGGAGGAGAGAGCAGAGTGACAGAGAGATGAGCTCATCAGTCTGCTGCTTCCCTTTTGCTGTCCAATCACAGGGTGGGAGAGGGACAAGACCTGTAATTGTTACTTAACCACTGTCTTGGCTGTGCTGTGTATATTTCAGGGTCAGAAAACAACAGGAGAGAAATACAAATCCCTCAGCTCTCTTATATCTGTGTATTAAGATGTTTGCCTGACGTCTGGCTTTAACCAGTTGACATCCGCGGTGTTAAACCCCCTTCCCATCCAGGCCATTTTTCAGTATTCAGCGCTGCGGTACTTTGACTGACATTTATTCCGTCATGCAGCGCTGTACTGAAATGAATTTTATACCCTTTTTTGGGGACAGATAGAGCTTTCTTTTGGTGGTATTTATTCACCACTGGGGGTTTTATTTTTTTACTACGGGCGGACGGCAAGAGGTTAAAGTGACCCGGTCACTACAGGGGTTACCTTTCTGGTGGCCCGGGTCTTTAAACGCCACCACAATGCTGCTTCCCAGATATTCAATACCTCCAGTGTCTGAATACCTGCTCTCCCGGCCACACGTGGTTCCTCCTGCTAGATCATAAGTCACTACAGAAGGCACAAGAAGGTGTAAGCACCTGAATTTGACCCGTTTCAGCCTCTTGCAGTCCTTGTATAGCAGGGCTGGAGTGTGAGAGGAAGAAGCAGCACACGGAGACAATCAGTTCATATGCTGACAGGTGGAGAAAGCAGAGTGACAGAGAGATGAGCTTATCATGGTGTCCCTTTCACTGTCCAGCCACAGGCCGGGGGTCTAGGACATCCTGAGCTCCGAGGAAGTGGGTTGAATGATGCTGGATGAATAAAAAGCACTGCGATTACAATCTCTGGACCACCGCACAGCCCCACTGAGACACTCCACTGGAGACATCAGGCTGGCACCCCGGAGCAGCACAGAGTATGTAGCTTCATATTATTCTGCATCACTGTATAATGTATTGCTGGGATTTGTAGTCTTCTATACTGATGGTATTCTGCACTGCTTTATAATGTATTGCTGGGATTTGTAATCCTCTATAGCTGATGGCATTATTCTGCATCACTGTATAATGTATTGCTGGGATCTGTAGTCCTCTATAACCGGTTTGGTAATTTTATTTTTTATAGGCTATTCTTTTTTATCTAGTTATTGTTGGCTTGAGTTCTCCTTTATTCATCCTGCTGTTTTATAGTGGTTGATACATTGCACCAATAAACGGTTTGATCATCACAATGAATGCAGATGAAATCCATCTGTGACGTCCCTCGCTCTTTCGCAATAAACAGCAATAACGGAGCGCTGAAGCAGGCTGGGACCTGGCAGATGTCACCTGTGTATATACACAGCACTGCAAGCCCGACTCTGCTCAGTGTATAGCTCTGGTGCCTGTGCTGGATCAGAGGTGACAGAAGCACCTTAACACGGGCCAGCTGGTGACAAGCAGAGAAAGGCCAGCGGGAAGTCCTGGAGGTAAAAGTTTACACTTCATAGGAAGATCTGCCATGGTGATCCTGAACAGCAGCTCACTCCAGCAATCCGGAGCTTACGAGGACCGGGACGGGCACGGGAATTTCAGAGACCGGGTGGTGTTTTCATAGGTGTAAAGCTGGTCATACAAACGTTCATCCGAAAAATGTTGACGTTAAACCAGAGGACGCATGAACCTGGACGCATTTAGCAGTGAAGGTTAGCAAAAGCAAGCCTAGGGAATTGTATCAGGACAGGTTAGCTTTAATCCGATCCTATAATAAATGTCACCCGTACCAGTATCGGTGCCAATACTGGCCATTTTCACAAGCACTCATGAAAATGCCCCGATACTAAAAGCCGATTCCAACCCATTACATTTTTATTTTTATAGATTTGGCTGCCGTATGGTCCCGCGCTAGCTGGGGACCTCACAGCAGCCTTCTGGGGACCTTGTGGCAACCGTTTAGAGCTCCAGCCACAAATCATCTCCTCCTTCCAGCGGAACCTCACTGCCCTCGAGACCAGGCACAGCCCTCCAAAGACCCCGGCACAAGCCCTCCAGAGACCCCGGCACAAGCCCTCCAGAGACCCTTCACTGGAGACATCAGGCTAGCACCCCAGAGCAGCACAGAGTATGTAGCTTTATATTATTCTGCATTGCTGTATAATGTATTTCTGGATTTGTAGCTCTCTATAGCTGGTGCCATACAGCACTGCTGTATAATTTTTGCTGGGATTTGTATTCCCTCTCCAGCTTGGAGTCAGTGGCAGAACAACCAGGGGTGGGCAAACTCCGGCCCTCCAGCTGTGCTTTAACTACAAGCTCCATTATGCCTCTGGGAGTCATGCCTGTGGTTGTAATAATGTATTGCTGGGATTTGTAGTCTTCTATAGCTAGTGGTATTCTGCGCTGCTGTATAATGTGCTCATTGGACTTGTAGTTCCACAACAGCTGGAAGGCTGGGGTTGCCCACCCCTGTTCTAGATGTATATGGTTATTAGGCGTTGGATAGAACTTATGGAAAACCAATATAGAAATATTTTTTTTCGTTTTTAAAGTCTATAAAGCCCCCAACAGCACAATTGTTACCGAAATCAGACCGGGGTCACCGCCATGGCGGCTTTTAGCACATACACATGGCTTTTCCCATACATCAGTCACGCAGTGTTTTTGCTTAGCAAGCCATGACTATATAAGGGCTCTGCGATGGGAGGCCGACATATAAACAGTTTACTTCTACAGGTCTTGACACGGCGCGGAGCCTGCTGGAACGACCATTGTTAAACATCTTACGGAGCGTGCCTTGTGCCGAGGTGGCTCTGTGCTTTGACAGCAGCGGCGATTCATAACTAAAAAAGTCAGCCCGTTCTATCCCTACTCCGAGCGAACCATTTCCGAGAGATGCCGGCTCAGCCAAGTCAAATAAATACGTATGTGAATAATGCAAGCCTTGCTCCCAAACTTTTTACCGTTGCATGCGTCGTCAGATTACACACAAGCGCTTCTGATCTGTACAATCTGCTCAGTCTCAACATATAAAAGGAGGTTTGAAAAACATTCAGCCTTAAAAATGGCAGCCAATGTTCTGGAGGTGAGACAGGTACTCTTGAAAGAAACCCGCCACAATAATAATGTGGGAGCAGCCATTGTTAACATAATTTTGAAGGTGCAGGCTCATGGGTGGTCATCCTTGATTTTTAGCCTTCCTTCTCCACTAAGCCAGACCCGGGAAAACTGGAAAAAGGGTATTTACAGTATATCACAGGCCCCGAGAAAATGTATATGCTTGTACCAGATCAGCAACTCATCAAATATTGAAGGATGGAGGTCAATAATAGTCCAGGAGCGTGCACTTCAATCAAGTGAGCAATGGCAGCTCCCCTAATTCTAACCTCACTGGTCCCCCTTTAACCTGTTGCTGCCAGCCATAGGCATATTTGTGGAAACAGAGAGGTGGACTCCCAAATATATGTATACAGCCTGAGGCCCTTTTTCCCTTTCCTGCGAGTGCGTTTACTAGGTGCACCCAGCACTGTGAACAGCTCCTGCTCTCTGTTTTACAATCAGAAGCCAGTAGGACCGGCTCTCCATCATGTGACCTCTGTGGCGGTCACCTAAGGCCAACTGGTGTAAAAAAAATCCTGAAAAGGTTAACGGGAGCCCCAGAAAGGGGTTAAATATCTTTAGGAACCTTTGCAGCATTGCATCCCCGTTCCATACTCCCATTGAATCTCATAGAAATACCCGGTACTTCTGGGTATGGAGGAGCATGTGATCTTCTCCCCACTCTCCCAGGATGCAGTACTCAGGCATAAGAAGCCATTGGCCAAAGTGACTAGATCCACTTTAAAGATGGCATAGTGGAAGATATAAGCAGTAGCCAATCCTATAAGACAGATCACAATCAAAGGCGTTTAGAGGTTCCAACCTTCTACAGGCCTGGAAAAATCCCAGGAGCCAGGTAGTCAATGCTCCTTAAAAATCTAGGCTGGTGTCCAACTTTTTGAGGTTTCCTCTACTCGTGGTCAATGAAGCTGGCTCCTAGAAAGTCCTCCTGGCTCCTGGATTGGACCGACTGGTTCCTAGATTCCAAATGAATTTGTCCACCCCTAGCCTCCCATGTTCGTATGCCTCAACACCTCTGGTGCTGGAATTTTTTGCTTATTGGCAATGCCGGTGTAAATGTGCCCTTCCGAAACTAGAATAGCACCGGTCATGATAAAATGTCCCTACCGAGTGTTCATCTCCCCTCTTCCTTACATCGGATAGTAGCAGGGCTTGTGTTTACAAGAACAGTTGAAGGGAGCAGGATTAGAGAAGGAAATGGGCTTAGAAAACTTGACATTGCACAAGTCAGGAATTCACTCACAAGGCTCTAAAAATGTGACCTAGATAAGCAGAACCCTGGAAGGCATCTGGGCTCCCTTTGTATAGGCCTCCCTTACCTGTATTAATTTACAGCCAGACCTCTCCAGGCAGTGCGAATCTATCAGTTCATTGACAACACTGCTTCTGTGGTATGTGGGAGAGGCCGGGGGAGCTATAAAAAAAAAAAAAGAAGGAGCATTTAAAAAGGGCAGCATTTTGTTTTTAAATTGAAAAATGATGGTACTTCCCTTACAATAACCTGAATTCAAGATACAGGGCAGGCAGACATATTGGAACCGCAGCAAACATTATAACATCAAAACATCTTCTGACAAGACCATGGAGTGTGTCAGCTTTAGTCATCATGCAGTATATGCCATGACATGAATGGCATCATCAGGGCTCCATTCTCAGTGATGTCACCGGTCTCTAGTGACTGGATAGGCTCCATTCTCAGTGATGTCACCAGTCTCTA